GCAGAGACCTGTGCCCCCAACTATTTTTGATGATAAATATTTGTATCAGATCAACAAAACATGGGCATAGAAACAATTTTTTTATACAGTACTACATTTATCCATTTTAAATACACTAACCCCACTCCTTTGTAACAACTAAGGCAAAAATGTAATTAATTCAGAAAATATTTTCAGGATCCCACCTTGATGTTTCGGGACCCCACTTTGGGTCCCGACCCCAACTTTGGGAAACACTGGTCTAGATCAAATGATTACAAATTATTACATTTCAGTGTGATTTTCAGTCTAAAAAGTTTCATAGTGTTTCATATGTATGCTATTTTAATGATTGTCAGTTTAACAKTAGGGTTATTTACAAAGTGTTTTATGAGTATTTGCACGTTCATGAGAAAGTGTAAAAGCCTTTTTTATAGCCCTTTTCTTCTTTCATTGATCGGAGGAAATAAAACTAGGCGGCAATCTATTGGTGTGACTGAGGACGCTTCAGCTGGTGACCGGGGGGAGATCTGGGATCGGACCACCAACCTTCCTTTCGCTCTTCCTTCTGAGCCAGCAACTACCCCCCAAAATCTGCAAATACTCATAACAACTCACTAAAACATGTCTGGTGCAGGCTGTTCAAAGAGCTATCTACAGCAGGTAAGCTATTTATTGTTTACAACCACTCCATAGAACCCCATTTCAGTGAAACCCTAAAGATCATAAAAAAATGTGAAGAATAACAGAAAAAAATGCTTTTAAAAGGTTACGAGCTCTGAAGCTCATCCATGTACATACGTGTGCCCAGGGTTAAATTGTTAAAAAAAAWWTTTTAGAAAAACTGACTGGATTTATTCCATCATAAATAGATTTTATTCAGTTGTTGGAATAAAAAATTGACTCTGACAAAAAGGTTTCTGTTGACATGACAGCATAAAATTAGCCCAACATAAATCTTGGCTGTAGTCGTGACTTAGACGGTGTTTAATGCTCCGTGAGACCTGTTCCAACACATCAGGAGGTTGTTTTTGTTCTCCTGCTAACACGCGCAGAGCTCTGCACTGTGTCGTAACACAAACAAGTCACTGGTCTGGGCCGAGCCTCAGGTTTGGATCTGCAGTTACAGAAGCTGTCCGGACATGTCTCACATACCAGGTAGTAGGAGGAGTCGCAATGAAAGCAACCCGTTTCTGTACCATCTTTATGTGCCACCTGAAGGAAATTCTATCTATTAAACTCCTGGACAATTACATTGTTGTATTTTTTTAACAAACTGAAACCGATCCCCATTGAGCTTTAACAATCTGTGCAACATCTTTAATGCTTAATATTGGAGTTAGCTCTGTCTTTTAGCAACGTATCTCATGAACTGCTGCACAAATTTTACTCAAACTTTCAGGAAATAATCAATAGATGTGCTTCTGCAACTGATTAACTTCAGTTCACTTAAAGCCAGTTCAATTAAAGATGCAGCCAATTGAACAAATAAAACAAAAATAATGGGTATAATTCACTGAACTTTACATATATTGTGTCAAAACCTGGTGTGGAAGTAGCTGAGAGTCGCTCCAAACATACTGTATTGTCCAGTAGTCACTCATTGCARACTAAGTTGGCTTACTTGGCACTGGAAAGGATTGCTACAGTTTGTTCATTCATTCATTTACTCCAACTCWTTTGTTTTTCACWGTAAAGATTAGCTTTTACATGTTGRTTTTTACTCCWTTTACTGCAGCTTCACTAGGATTAAATATGTATCACCTGCTTCCTTAGTKAGATTTAAACCATGGGAACCTTCACGGTCCTGTTCAGCATGCCTAATGGGTTATATAAGCCACAGACTTCARGCAGAGGACAGTGAGATTTGTGCCGAATTTTACAGGACTCTCAATGGGCCGCAGCTTGAGATTATGTTGTCAGGTTTTGTGCTCGGCRAGAAAAAGTCTGAAAAGGTCTCCTCCTTGAGAGGTGCTCTGATTGTGAAGTGCCCTGCCAAATTAATAAACTCCCTGAAAAAGAAACAGTTGAGGTCAGACAGTGAATGGAAGGAGCTGGTATAATTCTGCCAGTGACGTGGGTTTTCCTTTTGTCTGCGGCTCACTTTTAGACTACCTGGAAGAAGAAGAAAAAGAAGAAGAAGAAGAAGAAGGAGAGATCTTTTATCCAAGAGGGACGTTTCTAGTTGAGTAAAAATGGAAAGCAGCCTTTCAGAGATGCACCGCTTGAACTCTGTAACAAAGCAATTAACGCAGAGAGCGAATAATAACCCTGAGTGGGGAAGCAATAAAGTTTACTTTGTTGTATTGATTTGTGAGGGCAGGAGAGGATGTTGGCTAAAGAAAAGGAGAAGTCATGTGCTTGGTCTGATAATGGCCTCTGTGTGTGGACAAAGACTTATGGATTAACTTGTTTATTCATTGAATTTTTTTTCAATGACCATTGACTGCACTGTTTTCACCATCTGGTCTTGCTCCAGATTCAAAGTGACATGTTTTGTAGAAGACAACATCAGATTTTGTTGTACTTTAGTACAATATCTGTAAAATGGACTCACCTGATCCATCATAAATTAGATTGCCTTCAAAAAATAATCYGTCGTAGATGTAAATTTAAAGGGGAAATGTCATGTAAAATCAACTTTTTTTGAGTTTTATATCATGTTATAATGTTATACTCTCATAAAAAACATGCCCAAAGCCTTGCTTTGACACATTCATGCATGTTTGAGAAATCCTGCAGCGTTTTTATGAAGCCATGCTGAGGAGCAAAACGACAGGTGGGGACCAGAAACAGCTTTTGGTACCAGGAATGCCTCTGGGACGTGTTTTTAAGCTGAATTTCCTCATACTGTAGTGGAGCCCCCCACCCCTCCCCACACACCCCGCCCATGACGCCCTGCAGGCGCTCGGGTGAAACTGAAAATGAAACTTAAACCGTCTGCTGAGCTCTCAAC